TGCTGGGTACAAACAACAAAAAAAATACAATTCTCTGACTGAATACATAGAAACATACTAAAAAAAACAACAACCACAAAACAACAACTAATATTTCATGATGATTTTTGCAAGACTAGCAGCACGCGCCACGGTGGGCCTCAGTCTCTTGTTGGTTACAACGTTTGCCGTTGCTGTTGCCGTGCCATTTGCCGTTCCCGTCCCAGTCATCCCGACACACCGCATTGTACCACAGATGGTTACCGTGGTAGACATTGCCGTGTCCACGCAGTTTGTTAACGAAACGCGAACCGAGGCCATTATCGCGGATCTGGCCTGTGTACTACGCAATATATCATCGGGAAACGTCAGCGTACACACCCATATGGTCAACGGTGCCATGGCCCGTACGCGCCGCATCATAGGCAATGACACGCGTCCTGGTCACAAAGGCTATCTGGAGGTAACCGTTCACCCGCGTTTCTTCGGTGCCGTAATCGACGCCGTATCAGGATTTGTTGATAAGGTAACGGACGCCGTAGACGGCATTCCAATTGTAGAAACCGCCGTGTACTGGGCCTTGAGCCCGGTTACGGGCGCACTAGAAACGGTTGACAGCGTTGTGAACGAAGTGGAGAATGTGGTGGGGGCTATCAATTACATTACCGGAATTGATGAGAATGAGGAGGACACCGGAAGTAGCGGTGGTGGTAGCGAGAGCTGCCCCGGTTGCCCGGCGGCCTGGATGGGGGACGGGTTCTGTGACGACGCTTGCTATACGGCATTCTGCGGCTTTGATCTGGGGGACTGTGACGGAATGACCGCACCAGAGTCGGACTGTGCATACGGATGGTTCGACTACTACATTGCAGACGGCATGTGCGATGTAGCGTGCAATGCGGCCGGCTGTTCCTACGACGGCGGTGACTGTGATGCACCAGCCAGCAAGTACTGTCACATTACACACGTCAGCGACACGGTCCCGGGGTATCTGACCGTTGGTGACAGCGACGATCTGCACATGGCTATAGAGAAGCCTACTGTGCGTTGGTACATTGACTACGTGAACACTGAGTCTTTCCGCCTGAGTCACAATGGCTTGTACATGATTGCAGGGGAACCGGAGCTCGGTACTGACGGTGACAACATTTTGATAGACATTACCAGTGAGCTGTGGTCAGCCTGGTATTTTTCCGGGGATTATATTGTGAGCAGCATGAACGACTATATTCTTGTGGACTACTCTTCGTATGCCCTAGTCAAGTTGATGGTGCAGGGGAAATTCGAGCTGTACGAGGATCAGAAGTGGACATTCACGGATTGCGAGTACTAGATTCCGAGGGTTTTTTTAGGGGGGTTTGACGTTAGCCCATCGTGTTATTAACTTTATCGCACGGCGTTTACAAACCAAATAAAACGAACATTAGGGTAAACCCACCTTAGGTATCTTTATTTGTTTACACGGTATTGCTATATACAATGCCTGATGTCCGGGGAGGACTTGTGGCTACCGGCAGGTGTTGGCAGTTCCCGTGGCCCTGCTTTTCAGGGGAGGGCGAACTGGACTATTGAGGGGCTGAGTATTTTGCTGTCTGTGGTTGTTGTACTTGTCGAGTTGGATTCTTTGGCTGTAGTTGTGTCTAGTTGATGGTGGTGTAGGCGTTTGACAACCGTAACTGGATTGTCATAGAGTCTGTGAATAAGCTGTAACAGATATGAATATCGTGTCATTGAACACGAGATATGATACAGTGGCTCACCAGTGTATCATACTCACTACCGCATCACCGGGTCGTGATGTGCAACTGTGCCTGCCGGTAGGCATTCAAGGAGAATGTGTTCGGGGAGGAGGGTGTTTCATAGCGAAGTGTTCGTTGATATAAGTGCTATTCAACTTCAAGTCAATGCCAGCGTCTGATCAAGTCAGGCGGAGTCACGCTACTACATATGTAAGATAGTGTAATGTCTATTGGGATGTCATTGTCTAAGTCCTGGTCAATGTCAAACAGAGTGTGTATGTGGTGGTTTGGGAGTTTGCGTGTCCAGTGCTGGGGTGCCGCAATATAGGCACTAACCTCTGGGTGTAAAGTGTTAAAATCCATTTGCGGATTATCTATCCATAGATTATCTATCCATCCATCGTTCTATTAGTGCGTTCTCTAGCTAGGTGATGTTGGCTAGAGAGTAGGTGACAACCGTAACGGAGTCTGTGAGTAAGCTGTGCCAGATATGCATATCGTGTCATTGAATATGAGTTTAGGGGTGGTTGACCGGTGAGGGGCAAACGGCGAACTACCCGTGATCGGTGCCTCATTTTGCCGACGTGGCTAGTATAAAACCGTAGTCCCAATCCAGCTCAATATCACACTCCCAGTCTATCTACATTAATAACAACCACAAGACCCGCTTCTCCAACCATGACTTCTCTAACTTCTGAAATCCTACAAGACAATGTCTTTGGTATTCTAAACGCTGCCGATCGCCATCAATCGGTAATGGCCATGCCGCGGTCGTCTGAACACTTGGATGACGACGAAGGTGCGCTTGATGAGTTTGTTCGTACCGGTGGTTCGTCGGATGTCCGGTTCTCGCGTACATACACTCTCACACACATTGTGCACGAGCTACGCTATGTAATCAAGGACGAGGGACTTTTGGCCAAGTACTTGAGCTCTCACCCGGCACCTGTGATCATGGAGTCCCACCATGGAACTATGGAAGATACGTCGCTCGCCTTCCCCCAGTACATTCAAGTTTCGGAACCTACCCGTTTTTCGAGACCTATGACTTGTATCCCTGACTACTTGGACAAGATTCTCCAGAACAACTCGGGGCGACACATTAACAGTCACGTATTTACCGAGGACCTGACCCGCTATTTGTCGGGCGTAGACAGCATCGAATCCCTTATGTTTATATTCAAAGTAAGCAATATGCACTTGTTGTCCAAGTTCACTCATTTGAGAGCCCTCGAGGTGTGTCAGAGTGGGCTCGATTTGGAACAGCTACCACCGTCAGTCCTATTCCTGCGAGTACCGAAACTACCGGATCGCGTTCCCCAAAAGCCACCAACCTCCGACTTGTCGAGACCCACGAGCCGGTCGATACCAGCACCCAAGCTGTGTGGCGCCGAGTGAACAGACTGTTTGGATGGGGGGTCCACGATTCGGAGCTGCGTGGTCAACCATCCCCGCCACACTAATAAAAAAACAGGGACCAAGAGCTAGCTATGGGTTTATATGGTTTATTAAAGTTTAATTTTTAGAGATAGCTAAAGGTTTATATAGTTTATTAAAGTTAGTGCTGGTACATGTCAACGTTATAATCAATGTTTCCTGTCTATCTTCTTCAAATATCTGTCTGACCATAAACTTAATGTTGGGACACACTCTGCGCCACACAGCTTGGGTGCTGGCATCAGCCATATACATATACATATACATAATATATACATAATATATATATATATATATATATATATATATATATATA